ATAATTTTCCGGTAAATGATATTTCTTACAAGATCTTTCTTGATTCAGACATAAATATATGGCTAAAGTTATAAAATTAAGTTAAAAGTTTCATATATATAACAACTCTCTCGTAAATAAGATATTCTTACATGATCTTCTTGGTTCAGACATAAATATAGTCTAAAGTTATAAATAATAATTAAAGTGTCATATATAACAATTTTCCGGTAAATGAGATATTCTTACAAGATATTTCTTGGTTCAAGACCTAAAACGGCTAGAGTTATAAAAATTAAGTTAAAATGTCAATATATAACAATTTTCCGGTAATGAGATATTCTTACAAGATATTTCTTGGTTCCAGACATAAATATATGGCTAAAGTTATAAATTAAGTTAAAAGTTTCATATATATACAGCTCTCTCGTAATAAGATATTTTTACAAGATCTTTCTGTTCAAGATATAAATATATAGGCTAAAGTTATAAAATTAAGTTAAAAGTGTCATATATATAACAACTCTCTTGTAAATAAGATATTCTTACAAGATCTTTCTTGGTTCAAGATAATATATAGGCTAAAGTTATAAAATTAAGTTAAGTGTCATAATATTATAAACAACTCCTCGTAAAAAGATTCTTACAAGATCTTCATGGTTCAAACATAAATATATGGGCTAAAGTTATAAATTAAGTTAAAATGTCATATATATAACAACTTCTTGGTAAATGAGATATCTTATAAGATCTTTCTTGGTTCAAGATAAATACATATATGGGTTAAAATTATAAATTAAGTTAAAAGTGTCATATATATATAACAACTCTCCAGTAAATAGATATTCTTACAAGATATTTCCTGGTTCAAGACATAAATATAGGGGCTAAAGTTTATAAATTAAGTTAAAAGTGTCACATATATAACAACTCCCCGATAAATGAATATTCTTATTGATCTTTCTTAGTTCAAGACATAAATATGGGCTAAAGTTATAATTAAGTTAAAAGTGTCACATATATAACAAACTCCCCGATAAATGAGATATTCTTACAGATCTTTCTTGGTTCAAGACATAAATATATGGGCTAAAGTTATAAAATTAAGTTAAAAGTGTCATATGCCATATATATAACAACTTTCCGGTAAATGATATATTTTTACAAGATATTCTTGGTTCAAGACATAAATATATGATTTAAAGTTTATAAATTAATTTAAAAGTGTCATATATATAACAACTCCCCGGTAAATAGATATTCTTACAGATCTTTCTGGTTCAAACATAAATATTGGGCTAAAGTTATAAAATTAAGTTAAAGTTTCATCTATATAACAACTTTCAGTAAATGAAGATATTTTATAAGATCTTTCTTGGTTTAATATATCAATACATATATGGGTTAAAGTTATAAAATTAAGTTAAAAGTGTCATATATATAACAACTCTCCGATAAATGAGATATTCTTACAAGATGTTTCTTAATTCAAGACATAAATATATGGGCTAAAGTTATAAAATTAAGTTAAAAATGTCACATACATAACAACTCTCCAGTAAATGAGATATTCTTACAAGATATTTCTTGGTTCAAGATATAAATATAGAGGCTAAAGTTATAAAATTAAGTTAAAAGCGTCGTATGACATATATATAACAACTCCCCGGTAAATAAGATATTCTTACAAGATCTTTCTTGGTTCAAGACATAAATATATGGGCTAATTTTATAAAACTAAGTTAAAAGTGTCATATATATAACAACTCCCTGGTAAATGAGATATTCTTACAAGATCTTTCTTGGTTCAAAACATAAATATATGGGCTAAAGTTATAAAATTAACTTAAAAGTGTCATATATATGACAACTTCTTGGTAAATGAGATAATCTTACAAGATCTTTCTTGGTTCAAGACAAATATATGGGCTAAAGTTATAAAAGTGTCATATATATAACAACTCCCTGGTAAATAAGATATTCTTACAAGATCTTTCTTGATTCAAGACATAAATATATGAGCTAAAGTTATAAGATTAAGAGGGTGTTTGTCTGAGCTTATGAAAATTAGCTTATAAGCAACAAGTACTTACAAGCTAATTTTAGCTTATAAGCATTTAAAATTTTAAGCAATTACGTGTTTGGTTAAAGTACTTATAAGTGACTGATAAGTAGTTGACGTGTTTGGTAAAATGTGGCTTATAAGTACATTTTATTATAAAATGACTAAAATGGGTACTACATTAAACAAGGGTATACTATGGAATTTTAAAATTAAATAAGGATAATGTGGTAATATACTTGGTCAAACTAGCTTATAAGCAGAGTGCTTATAAGCCAAAAAAAAAAAGTACCTCCCCCCAACTTATTTTTTTTTACTTATAAGCTCAACTTATAAGCTCAAAAAGATTATAAACAAACAGGTCAGCTTAATTTTAAAGCTTATAAGCAAGTTTGACCAGCTTATAAGCTTAGACAAACACCCTCTAAGTTAAAAGTGTCATATACATAACAACTCTCCGGTAAGTAAGATATTCTTACAAGATCTTTCTTGGTTCAAGACATAAATATATGGGCTAAAGTTATAAGATTAAGTTAAAAGTGTCATATATATAACAACTCCCCATAAATGAGATATTCTTACAAAATCTTTCTTTGTTCAAGACATAAATATATGGGCTAAATTTATAAGATTAAGTTAAAAGTGTCATACATATAAAACAACTTCTTAGTAAATGAGATATTCTTACAAGATCTTTCTTGGTTCAAGACATAAATATATGGTCTAAAGTTATAAAATTAAGTTAAAAGTGTCATATGACACATATATCACAACTCCCCGGTAAATGAGATGTTCTTATAAGATCTTTCTTGGTTCAAAACATAAATATATAGGCTAAAGTTATAAGATTAAGTTAAAAGTGTCATACATATAAAACAACTTCCTAGTAAATGAGATATTCTTACAAGATCTTTCTTGGTTTAAGACATAAATATATGGTCTAAAGTTATAAAATTAAGTTAAAAGTGTCATATATATAACAACTCCCCGGCAAATAAGATATTCTTACAAGATCTTTCTTGGTTCAAGACATAAATATATGGGCTAAAGTTATAAAATTAAGTTAAAAGTGTAATATATATAACGACTCCTCGTAAATGAGATATTCTTACAAGATCTTTCTTGATTCAAGACATAAATATATGAGCTAAAGTTATAAGATTAAGAGGGTGTTTGTCTGAGCTTATGAAAATTAGCTTATAAGCAACAAGTACTTACAAGCTAATTTTAGCTTATAAGCATTTAAAATTTTAAGCAATTACGTGTTTGGTTAAAGTACTTATAAGTGACTGATAAGTAGTTGACGTGTTTGGTAAAATGTGGCTTATAAGTACATTTTATTATAAAATGACTAAAATGGGTACTACATTAAACAAGGGTATACTATGGAATTTTAAAATTAAATAAGGATAATGTGGTAATATACTTGGTCAAACTAGCTTATAAGCAGAGTGCTTATAAGCCAAAAAAAAAAAGTACCTCCCCCCAACTTATTTTTTTTTACTTATAAGCTCAACTTATAAGCTCAAAAAGATTATAAACAAACAGGTCAGCTTAATTTTAAAGCTTATAAGCAAGTTTGACCAGCTTATAAGCTTAGACAAACACCCTCTAAGTTAAAAGTGTCATATACATAACAACTCTCCGGTAAGTAAGATATTCTTACAAGATCTTTCTTGGTTCAAGACATAAATATATGGGCTAAAGTTATAAGATTAAGTTAAAAGTGTCATATATATAACAACTCCCCATAAATGAGATATTCTTACAAAATCTTTCTTTGTTCAAGACATAAATATATGGGCTAAATTTATAAGATTAAGTTAAAAGTGTCATACATATAAAACAACTTCCTAGTAAATGAGATATTCTTACAAGATCTTTCTTGGTTTAAGACATAAATATATGGTCTAAAGTTATAAAATTAAGTTAAAAGTGTCATATATATAACAACTCCCCGGCAAATAAGATATTCTTACAAGATCTTTCTTGGTTCAAGACATAAATATATGGGCTAAAGTTATAAAATTAAGTTAAAAGTGTCATATATATAACAACTCCCCGGCAAATAAGATATTCTTACAAGATCTTTCTTGGTTCAAGACATAAATATATGGGCTAAAGTTATAAAATTAAGTTAAAAGTGTAATATATATAACGACTCCTCGTAAATGAGATATTCTTACAAGATCTTTCTTGGTTCTAGACATACATATACGGGTTAAAGTTATAAAATTAAGTTAAAAGTGTCATATATATATAACAACTCCCTAATAAATGAGATATTTTTACAAGATCTTTCTTGATTCAAGACATAGATATATGGGTTAAAGTTATAAAATTAAGTTAAAAGTGTCATATATATATATATATATATATATATAACTCTCCGATAAATGAGATATTCTTACAAGATCTTTCTTGGTTCAAAATATAAATATATGGATTAAAGTTATAAAATTAAGTTAAAAGTGTCATAAATTTAAATAGTCTTGAGCGTAAATTAAATTTATTGTTTAACAGTATTTTCAGATCACGTTTATGTCTATGAACGATCCCACTGGTATATTATTAACGTTTTTGTTTCTGGTATTTGAAATTTCAGAACAAGTAAACTCTATTTATAGCAAAAATTTCTGCTTATTAATCCTTTACTAAATTACAGGAACATGTATCCAACATTGCGTACAGCATCACAAATGGTGACTGCACTTCTGTAAAGGATCAACCATTGGTGATGGAGGTAATCAGGAAGGCTTAGGTAATTCAGATCACACTGTAAATAATCAGTCTTTTCAGTGATGCTATGGCATGGCTTAGACGTAAAAATTTGGTTGAAATATTTTACTCTTTTAGCATTTAATATTATATAATGCTACAGTAAAATTAAATTGGTTCTGTAACTGGTTATATATTGATGGTTTATCAAACGAACCGTATATAATAAACTTATAAAAGTACCAAGCAAATCTCGATTTGGCGTTTTCATTTCAAGGTGCTCAACAGTACCGATTCAACTCTTCCTTCATTTTCACCTCAATTTTGATAAATGATTAATTCCTCAATCAAATCCATTGACTTTGAATTATACGGTTGTTAGATCTCTATTCTCAGAATGAATGGCGACGCGTCGGATATAACGGCGGAGGAGGATCCAACACCAACAACAACGACGACGACTAAAGAGGAGAATAACAAAAATAGCGATAGGAATAACAAGGAAAATGTAAATTCAATGGATCCAGAATTGTTCAGTTGCTTGCTTCAACCAGCGAGTGCCGATTTGGATCCCGGCTATATCGGCATTCGCCGTCTCCTTCTTTTCCGCAAAGCGGAGTCCGGTGTCCGTGGCCGACTGGTATTGTTTCCACGTGGCTTGCTTATGTTTGTGTTTCAAATGGAAATTTTGGATGTTTAGTGTGTGATTTGAGCTAATTTAGGAACACTTTTTTGAATTTATCATGATTCAGTTAATGTTTAATTTTGGTCATGTGTATGGTTTTGAATGTTTAGAGTAGAATTATAAGCGTTTGTTGTGGTTGGATTATGATTGTTTGATGTGTTTATGCTTTTGCTGGGAGAGTGGTGAAATGAATATAGTGTGATTGGATGATATGAAGTGCTTTAGTTTTAAGAAATGTGAACAATTTAAATTGATGTAGTCCATTAAATTCTTGAATAAGTTCTGTTATTTTGGGTTTAATTAAATATCGTAAAAGAGATTCTAATATTTTGAAATGTTCCCCTAAGTGATGGTTGGGAACTTTCTGTTGATCTTGTTACAAATCACGTTCCTTTCATCTGCAAGTAATTTATGAGCATCTTCATTTGAATAGATATTAAGGAAATTAGCTACTTCATTTTGTTTACAGTAAGCAATAGCAATTATATTGTCATTATTTCTGTAAGTATAAGCGATTGCTTTCTAAATTGGTCCATTTTGAAGGATTGGAGATGCAATGGGAAAGGCTATGTAGCCTACCGTAATTACATTCGCAGACCAAGAAATTGGGAATTGCAAATACCAAGCCAGGCTAGCACTCCAGGAAACAGGTTGACAAAATTTTACTTATGAGTTGGATTTTGTATGTTGACTTTCTTTTTAACTCTAATTCAGTTCGCCATGAGAAGTGAACACTTCAAATTCTAGTTGGATATCATAATTACAAAAATGTTGAATTTAACCGAAAAGTATTATAATGCTCCTGAAGGTGATAATGTGATACCAAGATAGAACAAAAGCACATTCTTTCACTGCTATTTCAAGGAAACATGTGCTTGTGAGCAGCTTAATGAGTTATTTTCCTTGATTGTTGGCTCCAGTCTTTAAATATAGGCATGCATACAAGCATAAACAAAACCCTACTGAACACACACACACACACACACACAAATACAAAACTAAAGAATATTTGACATGCTCTTCAGTCAAAAAAAAGTCTGTTATTTGGACGATTTACAGAGCTGTGATGACTGAGTAGTTTGTTTTACTTTTACTTTTTTCTTTTTTAGGCCTGTGTTTTTCTGCTTTGCCTTCTAGTCAAACCTCTGAAGAAGTCTTATGGCTATGCAACTTTCTGATTTGTGGTGCTGTTTTAAATTTATGTTTCAACGTAATTCTGACATCAGGTTAATTTACTCGTTGATGCATCAGTGGGCGATGGCTTCCATCTCTAAGTCCACACTCCTTAATGTTTGAGGTGGAAAGTTGGAGTTCTAGCAGGGTATGTGTAATTTCAATAAACCTCCATTATTTTTCCTTCTGAATGCATATGGTGCTGTTATGAATCATTAAATGGTATGAGATTCCAGTACATAAGTAATATTCAGTAATTTTATGCTTACAGAAGGTCATGTTAAAAGATTCTAGTTTCATTTTATTTTTTACCTTGTAATTATGGTAAGTTGCTATTTCCTTTCTTTTCAGGACCTGAGAAATGGCAATCTAGCTTCAAGTCATAGAACAAGTTTTAGCTCAACTGCAAGTGACAATGATCAGTTACGTCGTCGAGGGCCTGAACCTGGATATTCTTTTGTAGGAATGCATTGCATCTTTGATCAATGCAAGGCGTCTGGTATTTTTGCCCATCAAACCTTTGACATCGTTGTCATTAATTTGAGTGGTAGATTTTGATCTTGCTCTATGAAGCAGCTTGATTGGTTTTATATATGCAGTTACTGTCTTGAAGTTTGGGCACATGAGTTCTGATCTACTTGCATATGGGGCATCAGATGGAACCTTGACAGTGTGTACTGTCTCCGAATCACCTTCAATCATCAAACAATTAAATGGACATTCAAAAGATGTCACAGGTTGGATTAACTGGTATTGTTTCTATAGTCTTTTGTAAATTTTTGAGTAAAGTGTTTGCAGCCATGCCTTGTCGTCTAGTTTCTGTCATTTACAATGTGGATGTCATCTTACATACCTCTTTAAGATTTGATTAAATGAGTGGTAAATGTGATTGCTGAGCATAAGCATTCTTGTTTGTTGCCTAATTAGTAGCTCCTAAAGTGAATGGAGTTTTATACACACTTTGTTAAATTAAATTCAGGTCCAATATTTTTTGTATCACCATACTCCTAAAGTGCTAATACATTTTCAGACTTTGATTTCACCTCAAACAATCAATACATTGCATCATCGTCAATGGATAAAACTGTGCGAGTGTGGGAGTTATCAAAAGGCATTTGCATTCGAGTAATATATGGAGTTTCTCCACAATTATGTATTCGTTTTCACCCTGTAAGTACACACTGAGAACTTTATTCACTTAAAACATATAAACTTATTTTTATTTTTGAATATCTTGTTTTTAGTAGTTCATGTGCACAAGATTGAGTCATGTTGCAACCAACTGCTCCCCCTCTGTCTGGCATGCATGTTTCATATCGTAATTGAATGTTCACTTACTTGACCATTTCAATTTCTCTTTTCATTTTCTTCTTTGTCTTTTGTGCAGGTAAATAACAACTTCCTTTCGGTTGGCAATGCAAACAAAGAAGTCACTGTAATCTCTGCAAACCTTCGCATTCTGCATATTAAGAAAGAAAATTATCTTACTTCTTGGATATATTGGTTTCTTGGTTTGTTTTTCTTGGAGATCCAAACTTATATGTTTTATTGATTTTGTTAAGGGAACAAAAGACGCTATATTAAAACCAGGATACATGTAGATTTGAGAGTCTTCTGTTCTTCCCTATACACATCCCCCTTAATGTTGGCATATTTTCATTTCAAGTTACATTCCATCATTTGATTGGTAACACTTGATTGTATTTTTGCCAGGTGTTCAATTTCAGCACTGGAAGAATTATTAATAAACTGGTCCTCGACAGTGAAGTTACTTCTATGGATCATGATCACACTGGTCAGCTAATTTTCTGTGGGGATGGCCAGGTATATCTTGTATATGGTTGCTCTCTTTAGTGGTGAAACTCATATTCCTTTTTGGACATTGTTAAATGGGTTAATATATGCAGGGATGCATACACTCAGTAACTATGGACTCTCACTCAGGTGCATTGTCTCGTTCCCATCGTAATCGATCTACTGGCAAGCAAAAATCTCCAGTCACAACCGTGCAGTACCGGAGTTTCTCTCTGTTGGCACGGGGTCCTGTGTTGCTGACATGTACTCAAGATGGAAGCTTGACTTTCTTCAGGTCTGGTACCGAGGACATGCCTTTTGCTATTAAAGTTTACTATGTAGCACTAACAGAAGACTGGTACGTTGATTTTGCAGTGTTGCTCTGGAAATACAAGGTTATCTTACTCTTCGTTGCTCCCTCAAATTAGCTTCACGAGTTCACAGCATTCGAGTCTCCTTCTGTCCTCTGCTTTCCCTCGAAAAAGGAGAATATATAGGTTTGTATGTTAATCTCAAGTTTCTTAGTTCACTGAAATCAACAATTTAAAATCAAATGTAGGAGAAAGAGATGCATCTTATAATGATGTTGAATTATAGAAGTTGCTCGGCGTTTTGTCAAGAGTGAGATTCATGCATCTTACAAACTTTCTNAGCTGGAGTTCTAGCAGGGTATGTGTAATTTCAATAAACCTCCATTATTTTTCCTTCTGAATGCATATGGTGCTGTCATGAATCACTAAATGGTATGAGATTCCAGTACATAAGTATTTATTTTTTTATAAATATTCAGTAATTTTATGCTTACAGAAGGTCATGTTAAAAGATTCTAGTTTCATTTTATTTTTTACCTTGTAATTATGGTAAGTTGCTATTTCCTTTCTTTTCAGGACCTGAGAAATGGCAATCTAGCTTCAAGTCATAGAACAAGTTTTAGCTCAACTGCAAGTGACAATGATCAGTTACGTCGTCGAGGGCCTGAACCTGGATATTCTTTTGTAGGAATGCATTGCATCTTTGATCAATGCAAGGCGTCTGGTATTTTTGCCCATCAAACCTTTGACATCGTTGTCATTAATTTGAGTGGTAGATTTTGATCTTGCTCTATGAAGCAGCTTGATTGGTTTTATATATGCAGTTACTGTCTTGAAGTTTGGGCACATGAGTTCTGATCTACTTGCATATGGGGCATCAGATGGAACCTTGACAGTGTGTACTGTCTCCGAATCACCTTCAATCATCAAACAATTAAATGGACATTCAAAAGATGTCACAGGTTGGATTAACTGGTATTGTTTCTGTAGTCTTTTGTAAATTTTTGAGTAAAGTGTTTGCAGCCATGCCTTGTCTTCTAGTTTCTGTCATTTACAATGTGGATGTCATCTTACATACCTCTTTAAGATTTGATTAAATGAGTGGTAAATGTGATTGCTAAGCATAAGCATTCTTGTTCGTTGCCTAATTAGTAGCTCCTAAAGTGAATGGAGTTTTATATACACTTTGTTAAATTAAATTCAGGTCCAATATTTTTTGTATCACCATGCTTCTAAAGTGCTAATACATTTTCAGACTTTGATTTCACCTCAAACAATCAATACATTGCATCATCGTCAATGGATAAAACTGTGCGAGTATGGGAGTTATCAAAAGGCATTTGCATTCGAGTAATATATGGAGTTTCTCCACAATTATGTATTCGTTTTCACCCTGTAAGTACACACTCAGAACTTTATTCACTTAAAACATATAAACTTATTTTTATTTTTGAATATCTTGTTTTTAGTAGTTCATGTGCACAAGATTGAGTCATGTTGCAACCAACTGCTCCCCCTCTGTCTGGCATGCATGTTTCATATCGTAATTGAATGTTCACTTACTTGACCATTTCAATTTCTCTTTTCATTTTCTTCTTTGTCTTTTGTGCAGGTAAATAACAACTTCCTTTCGGTTGGCAATGCAAACAAAGAAGTCACTGTAATCTCTGCAAACCTTCGCATTCTGCATATTAAGAAAGAAAATTATCTTACTTCTTGGATATATTGGTTTCTTGGTTTGTTTTTCTTGGAGATCCAAACTTATATGTTTTATTGATTTTGTTAAGGGAACAAAAGACGCTATATTAAAACCAGGATACATGTAGATTTGAGAGTCTTCTGTTCTTCCCTATACACATCCCCCTTAATGTTGGCATATTTTCATTTCAAGTTACATTCCATCATTTGATTGGTAACACTTGATTGTATTTTTGCCAGGTGTTCAATTTCAGCACTGGAAGAATTATTAATAAACTGGTCCTCGACAGTGAAGTTACTTCTATGGATCATGATCACACTGGTCAGCTAATTTTCTGTGGGGATGGCCAGGTATATCTTGTATATGGTTGCTCTCTTTAGTGGTGAAACTCATATTCCTTTTTGGACATTGTTAAATGGGTTAATATATGCAGGGATGCATACACTCAGTAACTATGGACTCTCACTCAGGTGCATTGTCTCGTTCCCATCGTAATCGATCTACTGGCAAGCAAAAATCTCCAGTCACAACCGTGCAGTACCGGAGTTTCTCTCTGTTGGCACGGGGTCCTGTGTTGCTGACATGTACTCAAGATGGAAGCTTGACTTTCTTCAGGTCTGGTACTTAGGACATGCCTTTTGCTATTAAAGTTTAGTCTGTAGCACTAACAGAAGACTGGTACGTTGATTTTGCAGTGTTGCTCTGGAAATACAAGGTTATCTTACTCTTCGTTGCTCCCTCAAATTAGCTTCACGAGTTCACAGCATTCGAGTCTCCTTCTGTCCTCTGCTTTCCCTCGAAAAAGGAGAATATATAGGTTTGTATGTTAATCTCAAGTTTCTTAGTTCACTGAAATCAACAATTTAAAATCAAATGTAGGAGAAAGAGACACTTCTTATAATGATGTTGAATTATAGAAGTTGCTCGGCGTTTTGTCAAGAGTGAGATTCATGCATCTTACAAACTTTCTTTCACAATCCTGACGTGACAGCTGGTAATTGGACAGACGGGACTTATTGCGAGCTGTCACGTCGGGTTATGAGAAACAGTTTGTGAGATTGAGTTGTAAGCGTAGTATTACCTCTTTTTTTTTTTTTTCGCTCGATGTTACATAAATAAAATGTTTTATTTTATGCTGACATTATGACATGTAACATGAAGTTGCTGGAAGTGAGGATTCAAATGTCTACTTCTATGATTTGACTCGGCCAAAGCATGCTTGTGTGAACAAACTACAGGTCCATTTCGATCGCTTCTAATTTGTTCTATTTTATTCACCAATCTGCTCTCAAAAGTAACCAAACGATTTGAAACTGCAGGGCCATCGATTTCCAGTCGTAGGGGTTGCGTGGAATCATGGAGAAAACTTACTAGCGTCATCTGATCTTTACGGCGTTGTAATTGTGTGGAAGCGAGCAAAGACAAGTTAGTACCAAATTTTGTATAGTGTACGGATAAATTTTCTGAGATAAATTTCTTTGCTTTATCTCATCATTCTTTGACAAAAAAAATGTTTAAATACAATTATTGGCTGCCTTCTTCATGGATGAAGGCCAAATGTGACAATATTTCGTCACGTATGAAACCACTTCAACCTACTTAAAAAACATTTTTTAAAGAATACTTTTCACTATTGGCAAAGAATCCGAATAAAACAAATCAAAGAAGACATATGAAATAATTGTTTTGAAACTCGAGCCGACCTGACCTGATTGGTTGAACTGGCTTAACCAAGAAATAGATCCTTCATTGGCTCAGGTTACAAATTTTTCTATTCATTGAAAACTTTAGAAATTAGGACATTAATCCGTAAACAATTGAAGACTAGAATGTTAGGGTTTTTGAAGAGAAATGACTAGTACGTGCAATGGTGGCAACGACATCGATTTTCGATGAATGAATCGATCGAAAAACGTAAAACATTGTCATCCACAACAGCACATTGTTGTTGGCAATTGAGGAGCTGAAAGGGGGAGGGGTGAGATGTGTTTGGGTCAAGAGGCTGAGAAAAGTGTTTTCGTCGTAATATAAAGTATTGTCGTCACCAAAAACAGAACCTATTTGTTGATGCCAACAATGGTGTTTGAGATGTTTTTGTAAGATTTTAAACCTATAAAAACCTATATATAATTTTTAAGGGTATTTTTGTTAGATTTTAAACCTTTGAACACCAATTCGACCCGTCAGTCAAACCAATTAAACCGGTCAATTTGGGACCCAGTCACTTTGCCGGGTTCTCAACCCGGATTGGGTTTTAAAACATTGTATGAAAGACCTTTTTAAGGTTTCATATATTGCTCTTCAAGTCTAAATACTTTGTTTTATACACAAACCTATGTCATATATAAACAAAGAAACCAGACACAGGGAAGGAAGGAGGGGAATTTACATTACATAATTACAGAAAATTTAACACATCATCGGCTTTCAAAGGAAAACGAGGTTACTGTCTAGTCTGTCTGTCTGTCCCTCAGACAAAGCTTTTTCAGACCAGTTCGCCTCTTGGACCTAATCACAAGCACTAAACTCTGTCAGGCAGGTGTAGTTTTCCTCCATGTCAGCTTGAAGCTTATACAAAGATTAACAGGGTATGATTCTGCACTTGTTTGTGTTCCTACTATCACCTCCGACGCCGTTTTGTATCCACCTGAAACACCTCCATCAGAGATCAATGTTAGTGAATTGGAATCAACGTCATATGACCTTTAGAATCTAGGGCCTTAAAAATATGATCCTGACAGTCAAAGCCATTCAACAATAACAACTATGTGGAAATTACATATATGAATGAACCGGCCTTTAATACAAGGTTCAATATCATGATTAAACAAACATCTTCATTACAAGGATGCAAATTATCATTACATGTCTGCGTGACATTCCTAATCAGAAATAGTAGGTATTCCATATCATGATTAAACATATTAACATAACCGCCGCAAACTGATGAGTGAAACTGTAGAAAGAATGAGTAAAACAAACCATGCATGCCTCCATGCGCTTGTCTAGTTGATGTTGTAATAAGAATCTCTTAGTTATTATATATGCATCGAGAATTTATCTAACTACTTGAATATAACCTCAGTAAATGGGAATACCTTAGTATCTGAGTGTCTGGCTGTGGTATGAGAATTCTGCAACTTCTTTTGGCCTTCAGTAGAACAATTTTCACAGAAGAAGTGGTCAAGTCTTTTAGCTTCCTCAACAGTCATGTTTATACAAGTAGGATGAAACCTGAATCAGAAGTAACATGCTGAAGATTGTAAAGGTTTAAACACAAAATTTCATAACGTTTTTCCTATAAATTTAATGTTTTTGATGCATGAAACCATTTGGTAACAGCAAGAACCAATAAAATAGGCATAAATCTGAATCAACTTTATATAAGAAAATTGGAGAGCCAGATACTGAAAGACCAAATCACATTGTAAATAAAAAAGCACCCTTATGACTTCCCCCCTCCCTTTAAACAAATCAAATAGTACATGTTTCATATGGTAACTCAGTTCTCATCCAACCAAAGCTATACACTGTGAGGTATAACCCACAGGAAGTTGTGCCTATTAACATTTGTATATCACTAACTCAACTAAATATATAATCATCCCTAAAAGCTCAGTTCTCATCCAATCAAATTTACAATTCCACTCTACTCTTAAGGTTATATTTCCAATCTTCTTGCCTCTAAATTTAATCCTAATTATTTGTTATAAGTAACTAGGTGCTTTAGATTTAAGAACAAAGTCCAGTCTTTTTATATACAATTGCAAAAAGACGTGAAGAGCCTCCACACTTTCCAAACAATCATTAATCTCCAAAGATACAGCACTTGCTCATTCCAAATATTACCTGCCACATTGATATGGGCAGGTTTCAGAATATTATCATTGGCAAAGTATTTACATAGCAACTAACAGTTCATGCAAAAGTACAGCTAAGAATATAAAAAACAACAAGTAGGCAGGTGTTTGGCAATTGCTTTGCAGGTAGTCCATTCCAATCAGTCATTCAAAGAAAAATCAAGTTAAAATTAAAATACATAGGAAATAACAGTGAATTTGTGATGAAGTTGCTTCTAAGAATCTTTTAGACAATGCAAAGTTCCCAAATCTTTTGTGCTTCTACTTAAAAGCTGCCTAATAATCAAACTGTGACAATATATAGGTCGTCACAGGTGAACTGTCGAAGCACAATTCCACTCTACCTAATTCGCAAAACCCCCTTAATTTCAAGTAGAACAAGACAAAATACAACAAATCAATCAGTCAAAGCTGGAACCCACTATTTTAAGCTGTCTTCACCAATACAAGTATAATTGTACCGTGACAGCTGGTTCACCCTTCTTTGTTTCTTTCTCATTTAATCATTTTCAGTCTGTGGATAGAAAAAATACTACATGTGATTCCTACAAAAACCTCAACATATCTATATTTTGTAAATTAACTAGAAAAATTGCAAAAAAACAAGACAAGCAAATTCAATAATTAATGACTTAAGATTAATATTCAATTATGTTTCCACCACATGTGGTGTCAGCGGCAAAGCAAGTTGCCAGACTTCCTAAAATCAGATAAATGTTACTAAATACGTGAACATACATAATTGTGAAACATGAGTTCAAGTTTAATTTTTGTGTAATTGTTAATTTAAAAAAAAAAAAAAAAAATGAAAACCAGTTTCATGAACATGAAAATCTCCAAATTATTCCCGAGCAATAGCAAACCAGTTGTTTTATTAAAATTCCTTCACACCCTTAATGTAAAAGGCATAAAAAGGGTTTAAACGAATTAAACAACTAACTTACCAATCGCTGCAACCTTCACACTGAACCATTAGATCATCAGGGTTGTAAGGCATTTCACATTTGCAATACCTGCAACATTAATAACTTTTTCAGTTACAACTATCTACAGATAAAATATCAAACTACAAAAGTAACCCAAAAAAAAAAAAAAAAATACAGTAAAACTAAGGTAATCTCAACTCAAAACTTCATCATAACACTTAAAAGCACATTCCTTTCTGGTGCTCTCAACATTGAAGCTTTTATTAGTGATATACAAAATCCTACCAAACATATCAAACGAAGCAAAAATAATTGGTAATTAAATTTCATAATATTAGAACAAAATCATATAAAAAATATCATTTTTTCCACATTTGTAGCAAAATTCAGCTTCATTAAACCAAATTTATCACTAAGTTACCAAAATGGCCTTTATCATAGACCAAAACATAAACCAATTCATGAAAAAATCTTCATAAGTAAACGAAAAACCAAACAAGCTCGCGACATACACGGCGACACGATCGGGATTGAAAGCTCCGGTGGAGGAGTTATACTCGAAACGACAGAAAAAATCATCGTTTCCGACGGCGTCAAGCTTCGTGTAACTCTTGAAACTGTGGACCATACACTTGCCTTCGATTGTATCGGCACTCTGAAGGTCGTAGTGATCGGAGAGGAACACCTCCTTGGAACCGTGAAACTGCCGGCGGCCTCCGATCGACTCCTCCGGCCGGTAGTACCAGCGCACGCGCACCTTCACGTTGACGCCACGCGCGTCGGATTCGATCCCCTCGATCTTCGCCACGTACGACGACTTCGACGGATCCGACGGACGCATTAAAACGCAGTCGCCGGCTGAGAACAAAAAAATAAAAAAAAAATAAATAATTGAAACTTCAATTTTACTTTACTACTGAAAAATATAAGAGAGGATGAGTATCTCTTAACTTACGTTTAATTGTTTTGTTGATGGATTTGACTGTGTAAGACTCGAGAGTTCGCCTTGGAGCTTTGGCTTTGGCCATTGATGAGCACAGCTGCACAAGTAGTGATGGAGAATACACCAGACATAAGCGAAGCCAAGAGAGATTCTTAAAAAATTCATATTTCAAACTTTTATTTCAGTCTTAGGCCGTGTTTGGTTTGACATCTGACTGTTTAAGGACTTCGGCTTTTTCAAAATAGCGAAGAGTAAACTACTTTTTTTAAGTGTTCTGAAAACCAGAACGGACCATCCGGTCGGATCGATTCGACCGATAATTGGCGGCATATCCGATCCTAAATTATATAAAAACCGTTATTTACATTTAAACCGGATTGAGCGGGGGTTGGATTGTCGGAATAATGCTGAATCGCGGTCCAATAGTGGCTGAATCCCGCCGGATTCTAGCACCGATCGAGGGAGAAAACACAGCCATTAAACTTGATGGCATCTCCACAACGAAACCCAGCCATTTTCAGTGGCTGTCGTCCAGCCTTTGTCGCTCGCTGTCCACCTGAACTTCACGCGATCGTCAGACATCTTTTGTTGATTCCGGCGATTTCCGGCGCCGGTGGAACTCCTAGCACCACCATCAGATTCGCGGGCACGTATACATCAAAAGCCCTATGATTCCAAACCTCGATTGGCCGTCGATCGTCGTTGCTGCCACCATCACCAATCTTTTCGAGTGACAGGGGTGTTTTGGATAGATTTCAAACCTTAAGGGAGTATTATAGGGGTGTTTTTGATAAATTTCAAACATTCAGGGACTAAATTTTTTTTTACAGAATACGGTCCAACCGACCGATCCAATCTGTCAAACTGGAAACCAAACCCTTGAACGGGTCATGGTCCGGTTCGATTTTTGGAACATTGCTTTTTTTAACACAAATAATAATTTTAGGATATTTTCTTAGTAGTCGTACTTTAAAATACCACTTTACTATCTAAATTTATTTTCCGTTTCTAATTCTGGCATCGTTGCTAACCCACGCCACCATCATTCTCTTCTCCGGTCATCATTCACTAAAATCCCTCAAACCCTACTCTCATCGACCCCATCAATCGTCGGTAATCAAGTAATTAAGGTTTACGTAATTATCTCTCTCAAGTCAAATACCGATCAATCTCAACCACCAAAATCTAATATTCCACTACCAAAAAACTCATCGGTCTCTTCTTTTTAAAAACTTCAACAGCCTGGACTGAGTTTATGTTTTATTCGTTGTCAGAATATAAATTTGGATAATAAAGTGATATTTTAAATGAAAAAGTATCATTAAACGATTATTTGGGTGAAAAAAAGTCGTTAACTCAACAGTGAATAAATATATATATATATGTTTTTTTATCAGTTGTAAAATCCAAAAATCGCTTTTGAATAAAAAGATGTGAGCCAAACACGTCCTAAACGATTAATGTTTTTATCTAGGTGCTTTGCGAGGTACGGTTGAAACGTGTGAAAGGGGTATTAATCAACGTTTGCTGTGAGTAAAACGAGTGAGACAGAAGGGTAAGATTGAAAATCAGGGAGAAAGTTGGGGGTATTTTGGGGAAGAGAAAAGGAAGGATGAGTGATGATCCACGTCAGCAGCGTCTACGTATATAGTTAGCTGGACATGGAGTAGAGGAGCTGACGTGGAGAGCGGTGGGATGGGGACTTGGCAGCGTTGTGGTCACGTTTTGGAAAGTTCCAGTTTGGCTTGGGTTCGGAATCGGATTCCGTACGACCGGATTTACTTTTCGCGTATCTCAGCTCTTGCTCTGTGATGTCGCCGCGTCATCACTTCAAAAAGCAAGCACGCATGTTACATGTCGTGGCCCATCTAGTAACACGACGATTAGATTAAATAATTTAAAAAAAAAAATCATTTAATTTAGAGAAGTTGTGTTTATAAATTGACGAAATCACTTCATCTGCTTACATATTCTCGACAGTTAGACCACTAACGTTAGAATGTGATCAGAATCTGCTGGAATGGTGCATGACTAGTTATGTAATCAGTGTGCACTTGTGGATTTGATCAAAAAATATCAAATCGGTGCACTATCGACCAAATCCAGTCAATCATGTTTCATTACAGTGACTTTCGACTACTGTCTGACAGTAGTGGTCAGTTTCTGGCATTTAATGGATGGGTATGGGTATTTTTGTTAATTTTAAAAATTTTATTGTAAGAGGTGTTTAACTAAATTAACAAATGTAGTGGATTAAAAATAATGTCGTGTTTGGTTCATTATTATTATCCATATTTTGGATCTGATTTTTCAAATAATGTTTGGTACATTATTCCAGAAATATTAGCCTATTTTTTTATTTCCTTTTAGGCCCCATAAGGTTATTAATTTCATTAAATACCCCTGAAAAAAAAGTTTAAAAATTAACAAAAAACACCCCCACGACCCATACTTGCCAGATTCCGACAACCACCGTTGGTGGTAGCCATAATCTGTACAACGGCCTACCTGCTGACCAGAAATTGAAGGAAGTTCACCGATCTGGCCTGAAAAGGCCAAATTTGGTCGTCGTTTTGGCCTTTTTCGGTCGTCGCGGCCACAGCAGGCCGTAGATCTGGCCGAAAAATGCCATAACGACGTGTTACGACACAAATCCGATTGGTCTGTGTCGTAACACGATTTTCCGGTCAGATTCTGACGGTGGTGGCTAGAATCTGACACTGTAGGTGGTGGGAGTGTTTTTGTCATTTTATATATTATGGTGTTTAATTAAATTAGCAAACTTAGGGACTTTTTCATAAATTTTTAAATTTTATATCGTAATATTCTCTATCAAACTACTCAATATTATTCTCAAAATCCTATTAAAAATAATAAACCAAACGCACCCCTAAATATTTTCCAAAAATTGACTGAATATATTTTTAAATTTAAATCATATGCTCGCAATAATAATCCGATTCAATTTTTTCAAAAATATTATTTTAAATATTCTACCGAACACAACAAAAAAAATATTTTTAGTGATTGCCACGTAAAAAAAATTGTAACAGATGTGGTTGAATGCAATGGGTTACGTCAGCATATCTAGTGGGGTCGAATTGTTGACTTTTGAAACTTCATTTGGAAGGCAGGGGCCACTGCTGACCGTTAGATCTTTAAATTGATTGTTAATTAAAATTTAATTTCTTCCACTACCTTATCTAATCTCATTAATTGTTAATTACTCCATCTTAATTTCTTTTTTTCTTTTAATATAATTAATGTTATTTATGGAAGATGTTGCGTATATAGTTTTCCTTTATTTTTTTAGAATAGTACACTTAAATAGTTGAGGCTAAATTAAATTTGTGTGATATTTATATCACGTGTTTATAATTTATAAAAGTAGAAAATCTTTTATAGATCCATAACCTTATCAAACCTATTAATCGTTAAAAATCAATTTTTTTTTTTTAAAACCAGTTTATACATATTTTGACTAATCTTCGAAAGAGACTAAAGAAATAACCCACCTTCATGACACGACCTCCCACTTAAATCGGTCAAAACCCCTTACATAAATCACGGATACTTAGATGAGCCATCAACTTCTTGGTCTTGGAATTCAAACTTGCCTTAATTGCAAAGACTTTGAATAAAAAAAAAAAAAAAAATGGGGATTTTGGAGAAGAATAATACTACACCACCAACTTTTTTTCAGAAACTTTTTCTCACAACCTTGACGTGGCAGGTCGTAATTAATTAGTGGGATTCATACGAGACCCATGTGAGATCTATTGTAAACTAACAAATTGTGAGCTATCACGTTAGAGTTGTGAGAGAAAGCCTGTGAGAGGGAGTTATTGTTGTAGTATTATTTTTTGGAGAAGGGGACAAAGTAATTATTTCAGCAGAAATTTGGTACCCATCAACCTAGTTAGTAAATTCGCGTATTATACGCCCAGCCGTATAATTCACGTATTATTCGCGAACTGCTGTATTTTATTAGCCTAGCCGTATTATTCGTAAATTATATGTCTCAGTCGTATTATTCGCGAATTATTCACGTATCTGAATTTTTTCCGAATTTTTACAAACGTATTTTTCACTATTTGCCGAATCATACCCGTAAAATTCCAGTACCCTTTTTTTGCTGTACCCGTATATTTGAAATGCTATATAAATTTTAACCAAATGGCCCATGAACAGTGCTAAAACTGTGATTAATATTGCCCTATTTTTCAAAACATATTATTAACAATATGCCGTATTAAACCCGTATATACCCGTACCGTATTTTTTTCATATCCGAATTTTATGACTGAATTTTTACAAACGTATTTTTCACCATTTATCGTTTCATATCCGTAAAATTCCCATACTGTTTTTTTGCCGTACCCGTATTTACTGACTAGGCCCATCAATGGTTATAAAAGGGCAGGAGTGCAACTTTTCTAAACTTCATTTTTTTATTTATTATTATTATGAGAAAAGTGTTTTGTCACATTCATATCTTCATGCATGTTCATCATTATATATATGTCCCTTTTAAGCATTGTGATAAACAAGCTTCTTTGTTTTTATTTTAATGAATGGCTCCTAGTTGATTCACTTTTCGCCAACCCTTTTACTAGAGAAATCTTTAATGAGTTTTGTTTTTTTACTTTGAATCAAAGATTTGGTCCCATGCATATGACAATGAAAATCTAAACCAGTTTATAAGATTAGAATCACTTTAACTATAGTCGGATTTTAAATGAAAGACATTTTCATGAAGTTCAAAAGCAACTTTAGGTAGGTAGCTTGCCGGTTCGCTTGACATCCTTGGGTGTATTACTCAAAAGGTTTTAAGTTCGAATTCTCACAACTGCTCATTGTTTTAAAACCCAGACCAGAGGACAACCCGTTTTGCTGCTCGAGTCACGGGTCAACTGGTCCAACCGGTTAAACCAATGACGTCAGCAACAATTTTATTTCCCTTGAATTTTAACATATTACAAAAATTTCCCTAAAAAAGTTTAATTAGTCCCTAAAATTTTTTTATTTCAAAAATGCCCCAAAAAATTACCAATTAACTCCTAAACTTTTGACATATCTCCAAAACACCCCTATAAAATTACAAGTTAACCCTTATAATTTTGAAATGCTACAAAAACCCCTCTAAGACCTAAACCGGACTGGAGAAGCTGCCAGTTCCCGGTCCGACCGGCCGGTTTGGTCCGATTTTTAAAACAGAGCAACTGCTAATAAGGGATAGCCACTAAAGGTTTACCTAGCTGTTAACTTCAAGGTCACGAGAGATTAGTTGAGGTATGCGTAAGCTGACCTAAACACCTCTGGATATCAAAGAAAAAAAAAAAAAAAGCAAACACTTATGCTAACTCGACTCAAATAAGAATTTGGTACCCATCAATAAGTGGTTAAAAAAGGGCAGTCTCCTACTGCTGCAAAGCTTAGGTAGTCACTGGTATCTCTGGTGATATTTAGCTGCTCCAAGAGACCACTCACTGTAATTTGTTGAATCATCTTCAGCTGAAAATATATCTTCATTGAATGTCTCCAATGAGAGCAACTTAACATAGAACCAGCAAATAAAATTCACAAGAAGAGCAAAATTAAGATTTAAGATAATAACAATATGCATTAAGCTATGAACAACAGTCTTACACAGTTGGGAAATGGAAATAGACACAGGGATCCAGAGCAAGATATACAGTAACATCAACATACTAATTATTTAGATAGGCAATTAGCAGCAATACCCTCCAGCAGCAACATTGTATACTTATGAAAAGAAACACATCCATGCAATGGAAAATAACACAAAAGAAAATTGGAGGAGAAAACAGATCAGGAGATTTCTAGCATATACTTACTCAGAAGGGAATTCAGCAGCCAAGAACTTCTCATCGTCCTCGTAGATCTGCAAATTCTTTGATTTCATGAGAAAACCAACAGCTTCTTCATCAAATTCCACCAGAAAAGCACACTTGATCAGCTCAGAGAGTGCACTTATGTGCTCTTCTCTATCCCATAACACACCCTCTGATACGACTTCTGAGAAGTAGATTGCATATTCTGAGAATACGTGTGCCTAAATGAAGCAGAAAATGTTCAGTGTCAAGAACAAAGTCATGCTTAATGAAGTTGTCCATCCAATCTTATTATAGAGAAGATGGAAAACCTGTTCATAATTCCCCAAGGACACGATAAAAAAATCTGTGCAAAGCAAAGCTCTTTTGCATAACTTAACAACCTGATGGAGTTCCTTTAAATGTCCATACTTTGGTTCTCTGATCAACCCTATCATATCTACGAGTCAGAAGTCAAGAAACTACCTTGCTCATACAGTATTAGGCTTTCAGGTACTGGAAAAAAAATGGCTCAAATTTCTTGTACCTGGTGTTTATTTTTCACTTGATGCAAAGTTCACATCACAATCACACATCGACAGCGGTGAGATCGTTGCCAACCGGGTACGTATATATATTTCAATTCCCTTTAAGCTATTGCTGAGTTGAGAAGCCAATTTACAAGTAAAATATTAACTTATATCCAGGCGTCGAGGATAAAGACAAAAGAGAAAGGACAGAAAGGAAAGAGATTTGGGATGAATATGTGTAAGGGAAGAAAACCAGCTGCTATGAAGAGTCTAATGAACGTTACATCATGTTATACCATCCATCTAGCTCTCGCCATGACAAAGCTCATCTTGTTGCTCCAAAACCAGAACGTAATTCATAAGTTCTGCAGCTAGGAACATCCATGCAGAGATCAGCTTTTTCACTTGTTTTTGTTTTTGGTTTGCGAAGTTAGCAACTTTATTTCATCAACTATCTGTCTCCTATGAATATTATGGCTTTATTTCTACCATGTGAGCAAATTTACTTTCAGAAATTAATCAAATTGATTGATTATTGGATTGTTTTTGGTCCTGTATGAGTTATTAGATATAGGCTCAGTTTCGTGTCATTGTATATTCTAAATTTAATTAAAATCCTACGGTTGAATCAATAAAACTTCTATTTTTTTTAAAGAAAAAAAGTTAATGACTTGTGCAGTAGAAATTATTTCTTAAACTGCCGTGCTTATGAATGAACCATTATCAAAATATATCAGCATCTTTTACTTCAGTTATAATCTCCAGTTAATTCCCAATGGTCATGATAGAACCAACAGATAAAATTCACAACAAGAACAAAATGAAGATTAACAATATACATTAAGCTACAAACAGTCTTACACAGTTGGGAAATAGAAATGGAAACAGAGGTCCAGAACAAGTTATACAGTACATCAACATACTAATTCTTTAGATAGGCATTTAGCAGCGATACCCTCCAGCAGCAACATTATATACTTGTGAAAAGAAACACATCCGAAAGAAAATTGGAGGAGAAAACAGACATCTTGTGGGTGAATTTCAAGGATACAGATCATGAGATTTCAAGCATACTTACTCAGAAGGGAATTCAGCAGCCAAGAACTTCTCATCCTCCTCGTAGATTTGCAAATTCTTTGATTTCATAAGAAACCCAACAGCTTCTTCATCAAATTCCACCAGAAAAGCACACTTGATCAGCTCAGAGAGTGCACTTATGAGCTCTTCTCTATCCCATAACACACCCTCTGATATGACTTTTGAGAAGTAGGTTGCATATTCTAAGCGGAATTTGTGTCCACAACACCTGTCCACCGCCTGAGTGAAGAACTTTGAACTCTCTTTGTCCCATCGAATCATTCGGCTTTCTCTGGCATCCACAATTTCACCTGATGACAATGATAAACTATACCTCACGGTAATTGGTTCTGGAGTCTTCAGAGCAGTGAGATTGAGGAGGCACTTGACAGCTTCATGCCTCTTTTCCCCTTCAAGTTTAAAATCAGTAAGGAAGCCAAGAATGAGTTTAACCAGCCCTCTGCCAATTGATACATCACTTGGATTCACCTGCTCGAGTTCCACACCATGTTCTAAGGATAATTCTTCTCTCTGCACAGATTCAGAGATTGTGCGAACCCCAAGATTCCAATAGATTTCAAGCAACTCAGTCCTAGGTAAAGAAGGTGAGCTGGACCGAGGGTACCAGACAAATAATGAGCGAGAGGATTGTTCAAATGAATCCTTAATTTGAAGATCATCAGGAATAAAAACATCTTGCTTGTTGAGCAACAAAATTCTATCTGAGCCTGAATCTACAGGCACCTTCACCAAGCTGTCAGCAAGAAGTTTTTGTTTCTTCGTACTCCAACCCACAACACAACGCCAAAATGCATAACACTCATCCTTTGACGGTTGGTATCCTGAGCTTTCCCAACCCTTCCAAAGCTTGAAATAATCATCAACCGAAGGATTGGATTGAACACTGAATGCTTTGGTGAAGAAGCTCAGCAACTTCCGCTCATATTGTTTATCTAATACAGTCAACTGAGAACTGAACAGACCGTCTTTATCATGTAAAACACACTTTTCAGGGTTAACCCACTGTCCATTCTCACTTCCATCTGGAATCCAAATCCGTTTTGCAGCTTCATTATTAGCCTCCCACTTCATTTCTCCCAAGTATTCATATATTCGAACTATAGTGGCAAAGTCAGAGTGAGAATTCAAGTTGTCCGCAAGCAGCGAACATCCCTTCTCAACATCAACAATTACTCCTATTGCCTTAAGCTCTTCACGGTAAGATTTGATTTCAGAACCATAAAACTCTTCATCAATGAAGGGTCCATCTCTCCGGTTCAAATACAATTCCCACACGGAATCGAACAAGCAGCATCTATTTGGGCTATAATAACTAGCTGCATCGTAAGTCTTCAACCATTTTTGAGAAACTTTTTTGGTAAAAGACTCGGGCAAAGAATTTTTCTTCTCATTGGATATCCGGATGCATTTAAGCAATGCAAGAACATTTGCAGGAGTGAGGCTGCTGGGATTCACGAAACTACAAAGACCATCAGCTACAAACTTCACACCCTTTTCAAGTTTCACAATGACTCCCATACGCTTCAGCTCTTCTCTGTATTCATGAATGGCTTTGCCATAGCAACTGTCACGGTCATCTATAAAAGGAAGCATGGCGATACGAGATATAGACTCCCATTCAGGACAAAAGAGAATGCATTCTCGTGGAGATCTAACAGGATCAACACAATACTGAGTCCGCAGCCATTTTTCATCACGGATGCACTTCATAAAATCAGGAGGAAATTTACGAGACATTCCCTCCAGCTTTCTGTAACACGAGAGAAAGGACAGAACATTGTTTTCTGAAATGGACGATGAACGGGCCTTTTGCTGAAAAATGCTGGCAAATTTTTTCACGGCCACCTCAAAATCCAGCAACACCCCTAATTGCTTCAACTCATTTACCCAAGAGGATGTGCTACTTCCATGGAATTTTAGATCAAGTATTGGGAAATCATTGAAAACCTGTAGAAGACAACCCCATTCAGGATCTAACAGAAAACATTCACGTGGAGACTTGTAACCAGCAGTTGTCTTCAAGCATTTCGTACTTTGAAGTGCTTCAACAAGTAGGTTATAAACAGAGGAATTTGAATAGCGGATGCATTTCAGAACCAAAAGCACAGCCTCATCTGCAAGTGAAGTCAGGTACAGAGGCGATTTTAAGTGCTGAATGACAAGAGCATAATGCTGATCGAAGCCAAGTACAACACCAAGCTGTTGGAGCTCCTTTTTGAAACAAAGGATTTCCTCACCATAGTAAGCTTGATCAATGAAGGGAATGTTACTGATTTGTGATGCTACTTTCCACTCCTGATCAAATAAAACAGACCCAACGGGTGACTTGTAACCGTGGTCCGTCTTTAGCCAACTTCCTCTTCTGATACTAGTAATTAAACTCTCAGGTGGAAGGTAATTATCCCCCAGAAATTTTACAAAATTCAGTATTGACAAGACATTGCTTCTAGTAACATTGGAGGAAGCCGCCAGCGACATGAGACGCTCCCCAATAAATTGACATGCTTCTGAATATTCAAACATTACTCCAATAGCCTTCAGCTCCTCCTTGTAATTGTGTATACTATCACCATAAAAACTCTGGTCGACCAAGGGAATGTCAACAAGCACAGATCCATTCTGCAGAATAGTTCCCAATGATGATGTCAGAAAAAATGACTCCGATGGTGGTTTATAACTAGGAGAACCATTCATAGTGACTTTCAGCCAGCCACCCTCCTTTATGCATGTCAACAACTTCTGTGGGATAGGAATTCCCTTATTTTTCAGGTTCTTAATCCAATCTAAGAGCAAGAATGCGTTGTGCTTGGTGAGTGGGGAATACACAGCTGGAATCCCTGCATCGGGAGGAGATATATCGGGGATATCACAAGCTCCAACATTTGATTTCAGGAACTCTAAGAATTGTTTTCCATGTGTACTCTGCCCAGCATAACAGCAAGGACGCAAGTAATCTTCCCCCAACTCAATATAGCTTTGTTGTCTCCATGGATTTGAACCAATCAGATTCACCCAGTTGCTTCCATTAGCAGGAACAAGGACCCCTTTCCTTTTTGTGCTCACATTCCCGTAGTTATCAACGAGTGGCATAATTCGACACAAATCTTCAACATTCTCTCGTGATATATAATTCTCTAAAGATGAGTGATATAAGAAGTGAGCAAAGGCAACAACAAGCTTCCGGTCACTATTGAGATAATCAATAAGAACACGTGCATAATCATACGCACTCACAAGAACAACCTTCACGCAGTCTGTCAGCCATGTCAATAAATCTTGCTTCTTATAATATGATCGAATAGCATAATGAGTTTTCTTTGGCATAAAAATACGATTGGCAACAAATATGAATTCCTTGTTCCAATCAATCAACCATGACAGATCCTTCTGCAAGTATTTTGATAGACAAACTACACTCTTACAGCCAGGCTTCGCTAGGCTACTAATACTGCACAAAGCCACATTCCCATTCAGATCAACATATTTGATCAAGGATATATTTCCAATGTTGGTTGAGCTGAAATTGGATGACCAATTATCAGCTAGGAAAATGAGAAGTTCCAAATAAACATCCTCAGACACTCCCAATACAAGATTCGAACTCTGGATACACTTTGCATACCATTCGTTGTTAACTGATCCCACACCTAAGAAATCCAGTACCTCATTATACTCTTCCTTGTCGAATGCAGAATTCAGAATATATATACCATGGGATGAGAGATTATTCAAGCTTACGCCTTGACCCATTGCCTTGTCCAAAATTTTCCAGAAAGCGGGCATCAGCCTTCCCACTTCACGGGGTTTGTAGAAGTATTTCTGCTCCAAGTTTGATTCACTCGGAACAATGTTCTCCTCAACCAGCTTTGCTTTAATTGATTCTCTTACAGCATTCAGCTCTTGATAGGAAGAGCTTTTAACCGGCAAGAAGTTGAACATTGGAGGCAAATTAGATACTGGAGCATTTTCTGTTTTGACCAGTGATTCTATTGCTTTAACAAAAGCAGAGGGCACACAGTCAAGAATCCCTTCATTCCATTTATTATCAAATAGTATTGCTTCCCTCGATGAAGCAAGAAGGAAATCTGCTTGAATTATGAAGGGAAAGTTTGTAACCATCTCTGTTGGAAGAAAAGCATAGACTCCGGGAGAGGTTGTTCCTTTCTTGAGACGGTTCCCAAAAGGAAAAGCCAAAGTGATCACCCATTCTTCTATGTCCATTCTCCTTTCCACTCTGCTTTCCTCCTTGACAGGAAATTTCTGCCTCCACATTTAATAGCTGCATTCTTCAAATTTGTTCCCACTTGCAGACAGATGGAGTGTATAGGACTCAGCATCAATATTCTTCCTTGTCACAAAGTTAGTCTCACTGTTGATAGCAATGGCACTAACAGTATTGAGCTCGGGATTCTCATTATGTTCTCTGACAGAAAGTTGCTTGATTTTCGTAAGGAACAACAGAATTTCAGGATGAACACTCGAAAGCTGTTCCTTCACAGTTTTGACTTTGTCAGGCTTCAGGGGCAGGATTATAACAGTGGTTGGGAGGGTGGAAGCCGAACCATATATTTGCTTGATGTCAGAAAGAGTTGGCTTCTCCTCAACCCATTCAGGAACCATGTATGCAATGTTGCAGTGCGGGCAGGGCTCTTCAGTGAATCGAATCTGATAGCCATTGCTGAATATGTAAGGCCGAGCGGTGATCATAAATACACTCTTGAATCCGATTCCTGAAATGCAAGTTACCAGCAGAATATAAGATGCATTGGATATTATAGAAAATAACATCACTTCATAATCCTGTTTCCTAGGAACACTAAAATAGGAAACAAGACTAGTCTTGAAGAATATTTTTTGTGTTTCTCAAATCACATGATATAGCATCAGGAAAATGGAATGAGTAATGAGTGCATGGTAAAAATACCTTTCTCCCCAATTTGGCCACGTTTTCTGTTGCCTTCTTTAGTGGAGAGACCAGCACTGCAAATGGACTCCATGTTCTCAGCAGAAAACCCCTTCTCATTATTAAATACAAGCAATGAAGCTGGAGCTCCGGTGCCAGTTATATCACAAGAGGTCAAAACAAACTCAAGTGATGGATCAACACCCTCAGGATACTCGTTGTCTTCGGCATTCTGTCAACCAAAATCAACATCACTTTTGTTACTTATCAAACTCATCACCATACTGGAATAATAATAATATATGTATATTATGTATAGGGCAATGAAACCTGGATGAGCTCCATAAGAAAATGCACATCTTTGGCGTAGAGTTCAGCAGAAAGGAGTTTAACAGTTTTGTGTAACATCTTAAACACAACTCTATTCTGCTCCTCACGTCCGATCCAGAAGTTATTTCTTCGAATATCCTCAATGTGTTCTTTTGGCGTCGCCATCTCTCAAACAAACTAAGCTTTTGGCTTGCTAAAATGGTGAGAAAATATAAAAAAAAGTGCAGTTGAGAATGAATGAGTGAGAGAGAGAGTTTGATTGAACTACTAAGCAAAAAATGTTTGTTGGTGATTCATACTGAGTGAAGTAATGGAGGGAGTGTCCGTAGACTGCAGAATACTTGAACAAATGACAACTTGTTGGAGAAGGGCATGATAATAATAGTTTAAGCAAACGTCAAAAAGTAAACCCAATGAGAAGGAAAAGTCTTTGTACGGAATGACCCACTTTAAACGGTGATTCGTCGCACCAAACCCTGCATCTTTCTCGTCCAGCTTTTTGGGTTTTGGCTTTTCATTAGTGGAAGGGAATGTGGACTGGAGCGATGAACACAGGAGACGCTTAGCCTCGAACTGCGACTCCATTTGTCTGACATGTTGAAGACATAGCAGGTTACGAAAAAATATAAGGCCGAACCAAGGTTTGCTGTAACTACCCATTAATACCCAAAAGGTTTTAAAACAATAAATAGGTACCTTCGGTTATGTGCGATTAGTGATTTCTATTTAGTAATAGTGAAAAGACTAAAATACCCTTAAAAGTTTGATATTTTAGTTTTTTGTAAATTTAAAAATTTCTAAAAAATCATATAAGTTTGCTAATTTAACTAAATACCCCAATATATAAAAATTTTATAAAATAACAAAAACACCCCCATTGCGTTACAACACAGACCCATTGGATCTGTGTCATAACGCATTAATCTGGCCTTTTCCAGCCAGATCCATATCGGATCTAGCCGAAAAAGGCCAGATCTACGGCTAGATCTGGTCGTTCGAGACCGCAAAACTCTCGACAGCCAGATCTGGATGTAGATCTGGCCTTTTCTAGCCAAATCGACGTGTTACGACATAGATCCGACGGGTCTATGTCGTAACGCAATTTGCCGACCAGATTCCGACGGTGGTGGCCGAAATCTGATACTGCGGATGGTGGGGGTGTTTTTGTTATTTTACAAAAATTTTATATGTTAGGGTGTTTAGTTAAATTAGCAAATCTAGGGGGTTTTTTAGAAATTTTTAAATTTATAAAAAAACTAAAATATCAAACTTTTAAAGGCATTCTAGTCTTTTCACCATTACTAAATGAAAATAGTCTTTTCACCATTACTAAATGGAAATTACTAACAGCACATGATAGAACTTAGAAGGTACCTATTTGTTATTTTAAAACCTTTTGAATACCATTTTATCATTACAATAAACCTTAGGTATGTGAAAGTCGTTCGGCCAAAGTATAGTGATGCTTTAGGCGGTTAGGCCCCTTCTCTTTGTCATGTATGCTTTACTTCCTTTCATATGCATATATGAGTTAACGACTTTTTCCCACCCAAATAATGGGTTAACCGCAATTCTCCAATTACAAATTTTTAAAATATCATTTTATTATATAAATTTATGTTTTATTTTCGATTCCGACATCGTTACAACCCCACACTACTATTACTCACTTTCTCGATCACTATTCATTAAAATCCTTTAAACCTTACTCTCGTCGACTCCGTCCATCGTCGACAATCGAATGACTAGAACTTGCATAGCTACCCCTCTGAAGTTAAATTCTGATCAATCTCAACCACCAAAATCCAATCTTCCACCACTAAAAAACTAATCGATATTTTCTCTTCAAAAGCTCCAACAGTCTGGAACGAGTTTGCTCTCTATTCGCTGTTGGAATATAAATTTGGATAATAAAGTGATATTTTAAAAGTCTGTAGATAAACAAGTGTCATTAAACCATTATTTCGGTGGGAAAAAGTCGTTAACTCGCAATAATATATACAAGTTGCCATGAATCTCATTTGTACACATAGGCGCATTAGTGGCGGACCAAGAAAAGAGTGAGCTAAAGTTTTTTAAGCTTTGCATTATTTCTTGTCTCCGTCGTTTTAATACTATATTCTACATTTCTACTAGCTGTTTATAAGGTATTCAATAGATTTCGAAAATTAGTTAAAATTCACACAAGTTGATTAGAACATCTCGGTTTTCAAATATATAATTATATTCTACTCTGCTAAACGTGTCCAAGGGATCTTGATTTTTTTTCAGGAAATAAATTTTATTATTTGGGTAGCTGGAAATAATGGTTATAATATCATATTATAATTATATAGTATTAAGTCTACTTCTCCATGAATAATGGAGAAGTTTTTTTTCTTTTTTTGGTGATTGGGGGTATCCAGGCCAGTTTATACGCACCTCAACTAATCCTTCGAGACCCTAAAGTTGACAGTAGGATAAATTTCCTTAATGATCACCCCTATTAACAACCTAAATGGATCTAACCAGGGCCTCTTAAAGAATATACAGAGTCTTAGTTGACCGTTGGACCACCCAATGGTTTTACACTAGTTGAATATAATTATTAACATAAACAAATATTGTAAAAAATTTTATTGAGAAATATTTAGAAATGGTCTAATAAAATATAAGCAGCCACAAATAATATCAAACTTTCTATAATTTCAGCCTCTCAAAACAAGAATTTGGTACCCATCAGTGTTTAAAACAGGGCAGTCTCTTAAGGAGTTTTATTTATCACATCATCATACAAGCTCACTGTATATGTACTCTGATTTTAAGCACTGTGATAAAGAAGCTTATTTACTCTTCACCGACCTTTTTACCAGAGAAATCTTTGATGCATCTCCACTAATTTCCTCAAAAACTATCAGTGAGTTGTGTTTTGACTTCAACCAAGATCTGGGAACATGGTACCTGAAAATGGAAAATATGAGAAACTATCAGCAAGAAAGAAAATTGTAGTTCACATGAATGTCAATTGAGTTTTGGTTCAGAAGTTTTGTACCATTTTTGTGTGGGACTGTCACAACCCAATTGGCATTTTGCTGGCCTATATGTACCAGTGTAATTGCAGCCTCCGCAGTTGCCTTCAGCATTAGCAGTCCAGTATCTTCCAATGCTCTGTGTGTTGATCCATACTTGACCTTTTGTCATGCTTCCCATGTCCAAAGCCAGAGGCTCATCTCCTACTGGTGCATCAAAAGAAGCCTGCAAGTTCAAGTATTAGCACATAAATGTATTGTCCTAATTTGATGGGGCTCGGATTTGTCTCTGCCCATCTCAAATAGTGGAGCTCATAGCGTGTCCTCTTGACTCAAACCTGGATATCATATTTTCAGGTCTGGGGTACTAACTCAGGAGATAACTCTAGACTCCACTATTTGAGATGGGTAATAGACAAATCCGAATCTCATTCGGCGAGGTGGGTAGGGGTATTACCAGTGACACTTATCTATTGAATAAAGATGGAACATTTTGATATCAGGATAATGTAAGCATCCTCAAAATTTCTCAATTTTCCTTACCTTATACCATGTCAATGGCTGCTGTTTCGGTGGTGCTAAGGATAATGGTGTCCAATCAACTAACTGAAATGAATTCCATAAACTGACTGCTTCTCCTCTAAGTCCAATCTGTACAATAGAAGTACTTCTAAGCAGAAAGTTCATTGAATAAAGTGAAAAGTTATTAAAAGGGATAGAGGTGAAATTCACAGACCTTGTATGACCATTTCTGCCAGGACAAGTCAATCTTTCCATGGTTAAGTCCATGGAGAACAACCGGTCCTAGGACTCCTGCTGGATATGACTCAAAATGTGGACCAATATTCTTCAAAAACAGCAACAAGAAAAGTTTAATTTCGGCCAAACTGCATTCAACAAGAATTAGTCTTTATTCAAAATGAGGATTGGAGAACTAACTGGTAATCCAACTGCTACACTCAGCAGTGAAATCTTGTTAACTCCAGCATGAAGGTTAACATTTCCGGTAAAAGTAAATCTTCTGTTTTCTCTTGTCCCAGAAGCAGAGCCTAATAATTTTTAGAGCACTAAATTTTGTTAGCTTCTGACAGAAACCAAAATAATGATATATGCTGAAGAACAAGCAATTAAACAGTGAACCTGAAAGCTGTCCATTCACAAATACATGTAAAGCATGGCCTCTTGATCCTACGGTAAGAGTGGGCTGCTGATCGCCGCGTAAAAATGATTCAGATGATCCTATATCGACACTGGAAACATCATGAAATTGGAAAAGTTTCAGTGATAAATTTGTCAACAGTATATTTTGATTGAAATTTTATTATTATTATTCTATCTTACTTGGTCGAATACCAAAGATAGTCACTGGTATCTCTGGTGATATTTAGCTGCTCCAAGAGACCACTCACTGTAATTGTTGAATCATCTTCAGCTGAAAATATATCTTCATTGAATGTCTCCCATGAGACCAACTTAACATTTGTGGGCAACATTTGCGCATTGGATGCTTGACTTCTGACCTGCAATGGTAGAATGTGTCACTGAAACAATTATATTTCGAACTGATTTCAATTCACTGAGCATATTGAATTAAGGATAAAAATTGGCTCACAATCTAATCTTACAAACTTTTTTTGACAACCCTGACGTGACAGCTCGTAATTAGTCAGCCAATAAATGGGTAGATGGGACCCATAGCGAGCAAACAGGACCCATTTGTGAACTGACCATTGCGAACCGTCACATCAAGATTGTAAGAGAAAGTTTGTAAATGTAGTATTACCCTTGAATTAAAGGTATGAATTTCGCCAACTAAAATAAAAGCATTCATTGTCGATAAAATCATCAAATTTTCCTTACATTGGCAGTGTTGAAGACAGCGTTCTTGCAATCAGGAAGAATGCTGATAGACCATGGAGGAAGTTTGAAGTGCTTATTATTAAAAGTCACCGTTGCAGTTGACTCTGAATTGAAATTTGATAGAAAAGCAGCACAGCCTCCTGATTTCGAAGAGAATACATGTGCCTAAATGAAGCAGAAAATGTTCAGTGTCAGGAACAATTTCATGCTTAATGAAGTTTTTCATCCAATCTTATTATAGATAATTTGGAAAACCTGTTCATAATTCCCCAAGGACACGATATAAGGATCTGCAGAAAGCAAAGCTCTTTCGCATAACTTAACAGCCTTATGGAGTTCCTTTAAATGTCCATACTTTGGTTCTCTGATCAACCCTATCATATATACAGTCAGAAGTCAATAAACTATCTTACTCATACATTATTAGGCTTTCAGATTCAGGGTGCTGGAAAAAAATGGGCTCAAATTTCTTACCATATTCATCAATGGGAGCATCATAGTCATAGCTGGTGGTAATAAAAGGGCCTCCAGCAGTTCTTCCAAAGTTTGTTCCTCCATGATACTACAAAAAGAAAGCATCTTGTAGCTGACTCAATCAAGAATAATAAAAAACGATAGCTACTGAAGAAAAACATAAAAAGCTTAACCTTTACTTGATGCAAAGTTCACATCACAATCACATATTTTCCTTTTGGTTTCTGGGGAATCAAGAAAAGCATAAAGGGATTTTCTCTTTTATGTATGACAATCAAAAAACTTGAAACTGACCATGTAATAATTAACAAAAGAGCCTCCCTTCAGAATGAATCGAGCAACTGCAAATGCTATATCTTCAACTGGCCGCTGATAAATCGGCCCGCCAAACTCAGTGAACCTACAAAATGTGTTCTAGAGTGTTATTAAACTTATTTGGGCACAGAGCAATTTATATAGTAACTGTAGTAGCAAATTTTACCAGCCAGTCCAATTCTCAGTCCATAATTTTGGTTTAAAGGGTTTGTTTGGAGAGAAACTATCACAGTAAAAACCATTGCATGTATTTATCTGTCACCAGATTTAGAACAAGATAGGTTAAATTTTTCTTTCATTATATATAAGTGAAGCTAAAATGGGACCAAAAAAAAAAAAAAAATTATTTAGGAAATAATTTGCTTACAACAGGATCTGGGGCATCAAATTCCTTGCACATAACCCATGGGACTCCAGTGTTCAATCCAATGGCCATCTTTGCAGCCCAGTTTATATAAGCTTCACCAGCACTTCCAAATGCCAATCTGTCAGGCTCATACTCATTCTCAATCTGTATTCATGGTAAAACAAAATAGACCGTAAATCAGATTAACAGTATTCTACATGAAATTTAATTTAACAGTATATGTTAAAAGGGTTAGTATGCCAGAATTTACAGGGAAATCAAAGATAAAGAACCAAAAACAATACCTGTGAGAGAATGATGGGACCACCTTGAGACTCGAATAGCTTTTCATCCTTCATCATTTGGACAATCTTCTGGGTGAATTCTTGCATTGCTCTCTGCAAAACCAAGACTGTAAAATACAGGAAACTAGACTGTAACATAGAGCTTTCATTGGTTCTCTTATCCTTATGTATTCATTATATATATATACTTTCTTACACACAACACAAACCTTGAAAGGTTCATTATCTGTTCTAAAGCTAATGCCTGGCACAAACTTCAACCATACTGGAAAACCTCTGAAAAAAAAATGGAACAAAAATGAAAAACTTGGGATGCAGAAGATAAAGATATTACTGGTAAGGTTTTAGAGATTATGAGAAGATGGTTGTCACCCAAAATTCCATTCTGCGCATATGTAAGGCCCTATTCGGAGATGTACATATAAGCCTACTTTCTGAACCAGCTTGATGAACTGAACCAAGTCATTTCTCCCCCCAAAATCATACTAAAATCCGCAAACCAGAAAAGAGAAAACGAGAATCTTAAGATAGTTACAGGAGAATAATAACATACATAACCGAAAATGATTTGAGTATGTATTCAACTGAAAGCAAGAAAAGAAGCAAATTACATTGCCAGGAGAAGGTTCATGAACATTCCAAAACACATAAGTGTCTATAACATCCAAACCTCCATCTTTGGCTTTCTTTATAAGATCTTCCCACATCTGCATTATATGCATAACGTTTCATTAGAACCAATAAGTTCATATTTCTTGGAAAATGTGAAATGGGAAAGTTAGTAAATAAAACTTGCATACAGTTTGAGAGCTTCTGGGATAGTGTATGGAGCCAGAGAAGAGAATTCTCTTCTGTTTATTGATGATAAGAGCCTTCTTGTCATAGTTGACATTGCAGTGTGTCACCTGGAGACTTAGAGACAACACTAAGAAGAATAAGAAAAAGAACAGCAAGAAACAGTTGGAAGAAGCTGAGTTAGCAGCTTCCATTTTTAAGGTGAACAAACTATGTGAAATGAAGTGTGGGAAGAGTAAAGAATGTGAACAAAATTGGAAAGTAGAGGCTGAAATATGGTTTTATAGTGCAGTAAAACAGTGCCCTTTTTGTCTTGAACTGTTTCTCACTGTATCATTAATTTAATCTCTTGCATGGTGAAGACAACATTGGATGCTTTGAACAATGGGGTTATTTTTTTTTTTTTTTTTCAAAGTAGTAGAAAAACAATTAGCAAAGGATTGGCAAATGCCAATAGAACTGCCCAATTTCTTGACTTTTTTGGCTCTATAATTGAAACTTTGTGCTACTGTTTTTTCTCTTCTTTTGTTCTGTTCTGTTTTTGTTTTGTATGGTAGAACTAGAAATATGCAATTGGTTAATTAAATATGTTTGTTCCTTCTCTTTCAAGTAACCAAATGAAAAAACCAAGATTGTAAGAGAAAGTTTGTAAATGTAGTATTACCCTTGAATTAAAGGTATGAATTTCGCCAACTAAAATAAAAGCATTCATTGTCGATAAAATCATCAAATTTTCCTTACATTGGCAGTGTTGAAGACAGCGTTCTTGCAATCAGGAAGAATGCTGATAGACCATGGAGGAAGTTTGAAGTGCTTATTATTAAAAGTCACCGTTGCAGTTGACTCTGAATTGAAATTTGATAGAAAAGCAGCACAGCCTCCTGATTTCGAAGAGAATACATGTGCCTAAATGAAGCAGAAAATGTTCAGTGTCAGGAACAATTTCATGCTTAATGAAGTTTTTCATCCAATCTTATTATAGATAATTTGGAAAACCTGTTCATAATTCCCCAAGGACACGATATAAGGATCTGCAGAAAGCAAAGCTCTTTCGCATAACTTAACAGCCTTATGGAGTTCCTTTAAATGTCCATACTTTGGTTCTCTGATCAACCCTATCATATATACAGTCAGAAGTCAATAAACTATCTTACTCATACATTATTAGGCTTTCAGATTCAGGGTGCTGGAAAAAAATGGGCTCAAATTTCTTACCATATTCATCAATGGGAGCATCATAGTCATAGCTGGTGGTAATAAAAGGGCCTCCAGCAGTTCTTCCAAAGTTTGTTCCTCCATGATACTACAAAAAGAAAGCATCTTGTAGCTGACTCAATCAAGAATAATAAAAAACGATAGCTACTGAAGAAAAACATAAAAAGCTTAACCTTTACTTGATGCAAAGTTCACATCACAATCACATATTTTCCTTTTGGTTTCTGGGGAATCAAGAAAAGCATAAAGGGATTTTCTCTTTTATGTATGACAATCAAAAAACTTGAAACTGACCATGTAATAATTAACAAAAGAGCCTCCCTTCAGAATGAATCGAGCAACTGCAAATGCTATATCTTCAACTGGCCGCTGATAAATCGGCCCGCCAAACTCAGTGAACCTACAAAATGTGTTCTAGAGTGTTATTAAACTTATTTGGGCACAGAGCAATTTATATAGTAACTGTAGTAGCAAATTTTACCAGCCAGTCCAATTCTCAGTCCATAATTTTGGTTTAAAGGGTTTGTTTGGAGAGAAACTATCACAGTAAAAACCATTGCATGTATTTATCTGTCACCAGATTTAGAACAAGATAGGTTAAATTTTTCTTTCATTATATATAAGTGAAGCTAAAATGGGACCAAAAAAAAAAAAAAAATTATTTAGGAAATAATTTGCTTACAACAGGATCTGGGGCATCAAATTCCTTGCACATAACCCATGGGACTCCAGTGTTCAATCCAATGGCCATCTTTGCAGCCCAGTTTATATAAGCTTCACCAGCACTTCCAAATGCCAATCTGTCAGGCTCATACTCATTCTCAATCTGTATTCATGGTAAAACAAAATAGACCGTAAATCAGATTAACAGTATTCTACATGAAATTTAATTTAACAGTATATGTTAAAAGGGTTAGTATGCCAGAATTTACAGGGAAATCAAAGATAAAGAACCAAAAACAATACCTGTGAGAGAATGATGGGACCACCTTGAGACTCGAATAGCTTTTCATCCTTCATCATTTGGACAATCTTCTGGGTGAATTCTTGCATTGCTCTCTGCAAAACCAAGACTGTAAAATACAGGAAACTAGACTGTAACATAGAGCTTTCATTGGTTCTCTTATCCTTATGTATTCATTATATATATATACTTTCTTACACACAACACAAACCTTGAAAGGTTCATTATCTGTTCTAAAGCTAATGCCTGGCACAAACTTCAACCATACTGGAAAACCTCTGAAAAAAAAATGGAACAAAAATGAAAAACTTGGGATGCAGAAGATAAAGATATTACTGGTAAGGTTTTAGAGATTATGAGAAGATGGTTGTCACCCAAAATTCCATTCTGCGCATATGTAAGGCCCTATTCGGAGATGTACATATAAGCCTACTTTCTGAACCAGCTTGATGAACTGAACCAAGTCATTTCTCCCCCCAAAATCATACTAAAATCCGCAAACCAGAAAAGAGAAAACGAGAATCTTAAGATAGTTACAGGAGAATAATAACATACATAACCGAAAATGATTTGAGTATGTATTCAACTGAAAGCAAGAAAAGAAGCAAATTACATTGCCAGGAGAAGGTTCATGAACATTCCAAAACACATAAGTGTCTATAACATCCAAACCTCCATCTTTGGCTTTCTTTATAAGATCTTCCCACATCTGCATTATATGCATAACGTTTCATTAGAACCAATAAGTTCATATTTCTTGGAAAATGTGAAATGGGAAAGTTAGTAAATAAAACTTGCATACAGTTTGAGAGCTTCTGGGATAGTGTATGGAGCCAGAGAAGAGAATTCTCTTCTGTTTATTGATGATAAGAGCCTTCTTGTCATAGTTGACATTGCAGTGTGTCACCTGGAGACTTAGAGACAACACTAAGAAGAATAAGAAAAAGAACAGCAAGAAACAGTTGGAAGAAGCTGAGTTAGCAGCTTCCATTTTTAAGGTGAACAAACTATGTGAAATGAAGTGTGGGAAGAGTAAAGAATGTGAACAAAATTGGAAAGTAGAGGCTGAAATATGGTTTTATAGTGCAGTAAAACAGTGCCCTTTTTGTCTTGAACTGTTTCTCACTGTATCATTAATTTAATCTCTTGCATGGTGAAGACAACATTGGATGCTTTGAACAATGGGGTTATTTTTTTTTTTTTTTTTCAAAGTAGTAGAAAAACAATTAGCAAAGGATTGGCAAATGCCAATAGAACTGCCCAATTTCTTGACTTTTTTGGCTCTATAATTGAAACTTTGTGCTACTGTTTTTTCTCTTCTTTTGTTCTGTTCTGTTTTTGTTTTGTATGGTAGAACTAGAAATATGCAATTGGTTAATTAAATATGTTTGTTCCTTCTCTTTCAAGTAACCAAATGAAAATGATGAACTGATGAAGTTGACAAAGATTTTGACCTCTAACAATGTATCTCACCAAATGTAAAGTGGACGGTGATCAAATATATACATATAATCACAAAAAAAAAAATGGCATAAAAATGCATGTGATGTGATGTGATGTAACCTAGGGGTGTTCGGTTCTGGGTACCCTGCATTTTTAGAAGGAACTGAAACCGACGGTTCCTTGAAATTTGGAACCAGAACCGGAATCGACGGTTCTGATTCCTAGGTACCCAGAACCAAAACCTGTAACAACGGTTCCGGTTCCGAATGTTATGAAATATGAATTACTTTTTCTACAAAAGTTTTTTATTAACCCCCCTAATCTTTAATTTTATTTTATATTAGTCTCGGTTCCTAGTTCCTGATTCTGATTCCGGTTCCTAACTATAGGAACTGGAACCGCACAGTAATGGTTCCAAAAATTTGGAACCAAAACTTACCCATTGACGGTCGGTTTTGGATAGGAACCGGAACCAAACCCGGTACCTGGCGGTTCCGGTTCCAACCGGTTCTTTTGAACACCCCTAATGTAACTAACAATGGGTTAACCGAATGGTAAATACTTGGGACTAAGGGTTTCGCTCCCCCTGTAGCTTCAGGTTCGAATCACAAGAACAGTTGTTAATATTATTTGACACAGATCGTAACGTTTGTCCTATTTTGGAAGCCTTGTTTGGGGTCAAAAAACTAGTTGAGATGTGCGTAAACTGACCCGAAAGCCTCGATAACAAAAAAAAAAAAAAAAAAAAAAAAAAATGCATGTGATGTGAAGCAAAAACCATCAATCAACTTGCTTAAGGTAAACTTAATATGTCTAAGAAATAGAATGAGAGAGAGGGGAAATTGAAAGGTGAGTAATGTATGTGGGCATGGAATTCATGATCTCAACTGACAAAAAATTATGCAATTGCAACAAATATATGGTTATTGAGATTGTGTGAGAAATTGGGTGCTTCAAGTTCGTTTAATCTGTGATCCGATCAAACCTGGATATCATATTTCAGGTCTGGGGTACTAACTCAGGAATACTCTAGACTCCACTATTTGAGATGGGTATAAGAGACAAATCCGAATCTCATTCGGCGAGGTGGGTAGGGGTATTACCGTGACACTATCTATTGAATAAAGATGGAACATTTGATATCAGGATAATCTAAGCATCCTCAAAATTTCTCAATTTTCCTTACCTTATACCATGTCAATGGCTGCTGTTTCGGTGGTGCTAAGGATAATGGTGTCCAATCAACTAACTGAAATGAATTCCATAAACTGACTGCTTCCCTCTAAGTCCAATCTGTACAATAGAAGTACTTCTAAGCAGAAAGTTCATTGAATAAAAGTGAAAAAGTTATTAAAAGGGATAGAGGGAAATTCACAGACCTGTATGACCATTTCTGCCAGGACAAGTCAATCTTTCCATGGTTAAGTCCATGGAGAACAACCGGTCCTAGGACTCCTGCTGGATATGACTCAAAATGTGGACCAATATTCTTCAAAAACAGCAACAAGAGAAGTTTAATTTCGGCCAAACTGCATTCAACAAGAATTAGTCTTTATTCAAAATGAGGATTGGAGAACTAACTGGTAATCAACTGCTACACTCAGCAGTGAAATCTTGTTAACTCCAGCATGAAGGTTAACATTTCCGTTAAAAGTAAATCTTCTGTTTTCTCTTGTCCCAGAAGCAGAGCCTAATAATTTTTAGAGCACTAAATTTTGTTAGCTTCTGACAGAAACAAATAATGATATATGCTGAAGAACAAGCAATTAAACAGTGAACCTGAAAGCTGTCCATTCACAATACATGTAAAGCATGGCCTCTTGATCCTACGGTAAGAGTGGGATGCTGATCGCCGCGTAAAAATGATTCAGATGATCCTATATCGACACTGGAAACATCATGAAGTTGGAAAAGTTTCAGTGATAAATTTGTCAACAGTATATTTTGATTGAAATTTTATATTATATTTCTATCTTACTGGTCGAATACCAAAGATAGTCACTGGTATCTCTGGTGATATTTAGCTGCTCCAAGAGACCATCACTGTAATTGTTGAATCATCTCCAGCTGAAAATATATCTTCATTGAATGTCTCCATGAGACAACTTAACATTTGTGGGCAACATTTGCGCATTGGATGCTTACTTCTGACCTGCAATGGTAGAATGTGTCATGAAACAATTATATTTTGAACTGAATTCAATTCCTGAGCATATTGAATTAGGAAAAATTGGCTCACAAATCCAATCTTACAAACTTTTAACAACTGACGGGACAGCTCGTAATTAATCAACCAAAAATGGGCAGGCGGAGGACCATTTGTGAACTGACCATTGCGAGCCGTCACATCAGGTTGTAAGAGAAAGTTTGTAAATGTAGTATTACCCTGAAAATAAAGGTATGAATTTCGCCACTAAAATAAAAGCATCTGTCGATAAAATCATCAAATTTCCTTACATTGGCAGTGTTGAAGACAGCGTTCTTGCAATCAGGAAGAATGCTGATAGACCATGGAGGAAGTTTGAAGTGCTTATTATAAAAGCACCGTTGCAGTTGACTCTGAATTGAAATTTGATAGAAAAGCAGCACAGCCTCCTGATTTCGAAGAGAATACATGTGCCTAAATGAAGCAGAAAATGTTCAGTGTCAGGAACAAATCAGCTTAATGAAGTTTTTCATCCAATCTTATTATAGAAAAAGTGGAAAACCTGTTCATAATTCCCCAAGGACACGATATAAGGATCTGCAGAAAGCAAAGCTCTTTCGCATAACTTAACAGCCTTATGGAGTTCCTTAAATGCTCATACTTTGGTTCTCTGATCAACCCTATCATATATACAGTCAGAAGTTAATAAAAACATCTTACTCATACATTATTAGGCTTTCAGATTCAGGGTCTGGAAAAAAAGGGCTCAAATTTCTTACCATATTCATCAATGGGAGCATCATAGTCATAGCTGGTGGTAATAAAAGGGCCTCCAGCAGTTCTTCCAAAGTTTGTTCCTCCATGATACTACAAAAAGAAAGCATCTTGTAGCTGACTCAATCAAGAATAATAAAAAACGATAGCTACTGAGAAGAAAAAACATAAAAAGCTTAACCTTACTTGATGCAAAGTTCACATCACAATCACATATTTTCCTTTTGGTTTCTGGGGAATCAAGAAAAGCATAAAGGGATTTTCTCTTTTATGTATGACAATCAAAAAACTTGAAACTGACCATGTAATAATTAACAAAAGAGCCTCCCTCAGAATGAATCGAGCAACTGCAAATGCTTATCTTCAACTGGCCGCTGATAAATCGGCCCGCCAAACTCAGTGAACCTACAAATGTGTTCTAGAGTGTTATAAACTTTATTGAGCAGAAGCATTTAGATAGTAACTGTAGTGCAAATTTTACCAGCCAGTCCAATTCTCAGTCCATAATTTTGGTTTAAAGGGTTTGTTTGGAGAGAAAACTATCACAGTAAAAACCATTGCATGTATTTATCTGTCACCAGATTTAGAACAAGATAGGTTAAATTTTTCTTTCATATATATAAGTGAAGCTAAAATGGGACCAAAAAAAAAAAAATATATTTAGGAAATAATTTGCTTACAACAGGATCTGGGGCATCAAATTCCTTGCACATAACCCATGGGACTCCAGTTTCAATCCAATGGCCATCTTTGCCCAGTTTATATAAGCTTCACCAGCACTTCAAATGCCAATCTGTCAGGCTCATACTCATTCTCAATCTGTATTCATGGTAAAACAAAATAGACCGTAAATCAGATTAACATATTCTACATGAAATAATTAACAGTATATGTGGTGATTCATGCTGAGTGAAGTAATGGAGGGAGTGTCTGTAGACTGCAGAATACTTAAACAAATGACAACTTCTTGGAGAAGGCTATGATAATAATAGCTTAAGTAAACGTCAAAAAGTAAACCCAATGAGAAGGAAAAGTCTTTGTACGGAATGACCCACTTTAAACGGTGATTCGTCGCACCAAACTCTGCATCTTTCTCGTCCAGCTTTTTGGCTTTTGGCTTTTCATTAGTGGAAGTGAATGTGGACTGGAGCGATGAATACAGCAGACGCTTAGCCTCGAACTGCGATTCCATTTGTCTGACATGTTGAAGACATAGCAGGTTAAGAAAAAGTATAATCCACGAGGAAACTTGGGACGAAGGAAACATATATATATATATAAAGTGACAACATACAGTAAAAAGATTATGGTGGTGCTTTATGCGGTTAGGCCCCTTCTCTTTGTCATATATGCTTTTCTTCCTTTCATATGTTTATAGTATCTCATGCGTTTATCAAATAAATTAATACATTCTTCAGAAATTGGGGTGGTTGGATTGGATCCCTTGATTTCCGGCATAGCCTATTCAACATCAATGAACTCTACTCCATCAAGCTGATTTTGGGAGCAATAATATGAGTTACGGAATTTTTTTCCACCCAAACAATGGTTTTTAACCATATTTTTTATCTATTATCTTTTAAAATATTATTTTATTATCTAAATTTATATTCTAATCTTTATTCTGATATCATTGTGACCTCGCACTATTATCATTCTCTTTCCCAATCATCACTTACTAAAACTCCTTAAACCTTACTCTCGTCGATCCCGTCAATTGCTAGAAATCGAACAATTAGGGTTTGCAGAACTACCTCTCCGAAGTCAAATTCTGATTAATCCCGAGTTGCCAACCACCAAAAAACTTATCGGTATTTCCTCTTCAAAAGCCCCAACAGCGAGTTTATTCTCTATTTACTGTCGGAATATAAATTTAGGTAATAAAGTGATATTTTAAAAGTCTGTGGATGAAAAAGTATCATTAAACTATTATTTCGGTGGAAAAAGCCGTTAACTTGCAATAATATATACA